AATTTAAGTATCAATTGCTAGAATAAGGAATTCTATAATTTTACTGTAAATACTGTATAAAAATCAATCTTATTTGCCTGTACTTTACTGAGGGACAGCATTCTTCAATAGTAACTGGATACATAGGCTTAGAGTCTGACTAGTAACTAAATTTAGAGGAAAAGTGTAAATGCCATAAAGAAAGGATTCTTCTCGGCTTGTGCTACCACAAATAAGCATACCCTACCACGATGAAAGAAATATAAATTAGCAGATGCAGCTAATCAAAGAATGCAAATCTGTAATAGACAAGGTGGAAGCCATTATGTCATCCTGGGACCAGGCAGAGCTAGAGAACACAGAATGTACCATGGAGTAACTTGGAGTTGCAGAGGTGACTGGCAGCACCCAACAGTAATTATTATTAATTGTAGTGTCAGATGAACTAAACTCCTAGTTATCTTAACTGCATGTTAATGGATAGCACAATGATGTCAGTAAGGAACTGGTGAGGCCTGGAGGAGCAGTTGTATAGGCTAAAAGTCAGGAAAACGAGGCAGAAACTCTTTATGGTGTTGTCATGGAGGGCAGGGGCTGGACAGTTAGGAAGGCCCTAATAATTAGCTCAGAGAAACCAGGGAAGAAAATCACCCTAAGTGAAGACACTGTGAGCATGTTGGGATACTCAAAATACTGGCTTTGCTGTCCATTACTCCAGAGGCTCTTTTCTGTGACTTGAGCAGCAAGAACACTCAAAGCTTGGGCTATGTGCTGGACAATGTCACTATGAAAGTCTGGATGACCAGACAAGAAGTTTTGCTTGCCAAAGGCAAAAGGACTGAAGTGGCATTAAAAGATACTTTGTATCATACTGATAATTTAACTTTGGCAATTTTACAATCTCAATTATTTATAATTGTTCATGTACTGTTCCATTTGCTTGGAAATGGATATAAAGACCAGAACCAACATGCATAATTTCATCACAAGCAGCTGCAGCATTGGCTCTTCAGTGGGCCTACCTCATAGCATTGTGGCCTGGTGAGGATGGGGGCTACACAGGGCTACCAATTTTTGGTGTTGTAGCTGCTATGTCTTTAAAATCGATGCTTTCATTTTGATAGAGACAGAGAGTTTTGAGACAGTATATTCAAAGACGTAGGGATCTTTTCCTCTGGATTTTCATAACTGATATATTAGCATAATCTAGTTATACAATGTGCTTAATTCAAAATTCACTACTTGTAAGCAGTAAAGATAATGGAACTGTGATAACAAAACCCATGGACGATGATGACAATGATGACTTTATCATCTTTCTTGAAGATGGAATAATGCTGTTCAGCACATAGGCAGCTTCCTGGAGCAAAGGGTAGGGCGCTCAATGCTTAAGAGATCATTAAGCCCACTCTGCTCTGGGATCAGTCCAAAGTGACATGAAAGAACCCTGAGAGCTGTCAGCCCAATTCTGGTTTCACAGAAGAAGAAAGTGACATCCACAGTGAGGAACTGACTTACTTGACTGAGATCCCCCATTTGCTGATTGATTATGAATTTAAAGCCATATTTCATGATTCTCAAACCAATGCTCTCCTTTCATTATACCAATCTTCTTCTTCTTCTTCTTCTTCTTTTTTTTTGAGATGGAGTCTCGCTCTGTCTCCCAGGCTGGAGTGCGGTGGCGCGATCTCGGCTCACTGCAAGTTCTTTCTCCCAGGTTCACACCATTCTCCCACCTCAGTCTCCTGAGTAGCTGGGACTACAGGCACCCGCCACCACGCCCGGCTAATTTTTTTGTATTTTGAGTAGAGATAGGGTTTCACTGTGTTAGCCAGGATGGTCTCAATCTCCTGACCTCGTGATCCGCCCACCTTGGCCTCCCAAAGTGCTGGGATACTGCTCTTCTTGCATATGAGAATGATGATGCATTACACTACACACACACAAACACACATATACACATGCACACACACACCCTCCTCATGGAATAGAATCTAAGCTGCATCTGGTTAGTATCTACCAAATAGGGACCAGCTGACTTGGCCAGAGAAAGCCACCTGACTGGAGGACTTCTGGACAGATGAGTGTGTGTGCTTGTGTGCATGTGTGTTTGTGTGTGTGTGCGCGCACCCATGTATGTGTTCTGTTGGAGTCACAGTGCTGAAAACACTTTAGAGCCTCTTCTCTGTTTCTTGAGCAGAAAAACACATAAAGCTTAGGCCACGTGCTAGACAGTGTTAACATTTATGGACTTGACTTTTCTAGAGATACTCTTCATAAAAGCTCAGTTTGTTGGAATCAATGGGTTGTGGCAGTTTGAAGTGCAGTTTAAACTAGGAGACAGAACTTGGGTCTTAGAGTCTGAAATCACGGTTTCCATAACTTAAAGTGTGACATTGGTTGAACAAATGACTTAACTTCTCAGTCTCAGTCTTCTCACCGTTAATCTGAGAGAACACTACCTGCCATATCTTTGTCATAAGGTTTTTCTGAGGATAAAATGTGTAAGAAAGTACTTCATAAGCTATAAAGTACATATAAATGCATGATATTACTATTTCTGATATTATTATATAAGGAAGTTCATGCAGAATTAATAGCAAGGCATGCTGGCTCTTAGTAAAAGTGTGAAGTAGGCCAAGTGGTCTGTGACCCACTGTTACCTACCCACCTTCCTGCTGCCCTGGGTCCTCCAGCTCCCAAATGGAAGAGCTATACGGAAGGGGATGGAGGAAGCCTTTCTGGACCCAACCCAATGACAGCCCCAGGGTAGGCTGCCTGCCCATCCGGATTATTCTATTCTCACCTGTGAAAGGTTAGATCCTCAACTGTGGCTGCCGTACCTTTCTCTCCTTCACAAGCTGGGTAGGTAACAGGCAACTAGACTAGGACAGAGGAAACAGTGATCTCTGAGCAGCAAGGGATAGTAGGAAATAAACAGAAGTTACACGAGAATACGCTTTGATCTATACAAAGAAAGACAAGAGCAGGAGCAGGGTGGCACCCTGTATTCACATCACTCTGCTGAGATGGGCACAGCGCAGAGAATGCGTAACCATAAGCATTAGACTTTACTGTGACACTCCGGGAAAATGGAACCAAATGGGTTTTGGCTTAGAATTCTTTCTGACAGCTTCAAGTCCATTAAAAATACACTAAATGTCAGTGAAAATTTACCACAGCATGTTTTGCCAAGAGGAAAATTTGTGAAATCAGGACGAACATTTAAAAATTCTCCACAAAATCATTTCACTGACTTATTTTCCATTTATTTCTATGTAGAACACTGTACACTTAGGGAGAAATCACTTATATAAACACACACACACACACATACACACTGTTCTTATTCTTTTTTCTTTTTAGTTTTGTATCTTGAGAAAAAGTCAATGTGGTTCTCTACTTTATTCTTAAAAAAATCACAGAACTATTGCCACAATATCAAGAAGTCATCATGTTAGAGTGGCTACTATTTATTTTGAATTTTTTCACCAAATGATGCTTGATCAGGATATTATCCTAACTTTAAAGACAGAAGTCGATGGAAGAGAAAAAAATTGGGATTTACCACCATGTACTACACCATGCTTGGCGTCATATTTTATTTTATTCCATCCTTAGAACAATTCTGCAGATGGAGTATTTCTATATGCATTTTACTGACAAGGCTCAGACAAATCAGGTAATTCTGCTAGGACCACAAGGCTGACAGGGACAGAAATGGGATTTCAATTCAGAAGCTGCTTTCCCCACTAGTCAGTGGTGAAAAAGAAGCAAACAAAGAAATTATCTGGATTCTTAAAAAGTCTGTTATTTGCTGGAGGTGAGAGAAGAGGAGTGACTGGGAGAACAGATGAATCAAGATTAGCTACAGGTTGATAACTGGAAGCTGGGTGATGGATTTCATCGTACAATTCTGCTGCTTTTGTAGGTTTGAAAATTTCCAAAATCAAAGGTCAAATAAAAAAGGCAATGTCAATGGACATTGATAACACAGAATATATTACATATAAACAATCTTTTGTTGTTTATTGAAAATGATAAAGTTTTACGAAAAGGAGAAAAAAATCTAATCTTCAATTCCTAGAGATGTTTGTCAAAAAGTAACTGGGCTGCCGGGCGCGGTGGCTCAAGCCTGTAATCCCAGCACTTTGGGAGGCCGAGACGGGTGGATCACGAGGTCAGGAGATCGAGACCATCCTGGCTGATACGGTGAAACCCCGTCTCTACTAAAAAATACAAAAAACTAGCCGGGCGAGGTGGCGGGCGCCTGTAGTCCCAGCTACTTGGGAGGCTGAGGCAGGAGAATGGCGTGAACCCGGTTGGCGGAGCTTGCAGTGAGCTGAGATCTGGCCACTGCACTCCAGCCTGGGCCTCAGAGCGAGACTCCGTCTCAAAAAAAAAAAAAAAAAAAAAAAAAAAAAAGTAACTGGGCTGCCCCAGTTAGTTTTGTATGTATGTATGTATTTGTATGTATGCATGTATTTGTATGTATGTATGTATTTGTACGTATGTATTTGTATGTATGACATGCAGCTTGACCTCTGCTTCTCAGAGCAGAAAACATTTCACCACCTAATGTGTACCTTGGACAAGCGGCTGCTTCAGGGATTCTTTTTTTTTTTTTTTGCGATGGAGTCTCGCTCTTGTCACCTAGGCTGGAGTGCAGCAATGTGATCTCAGCCCACTGCAACCTCCACCTCCCGGGTTCAAGCGATTCTCCTACCTCAGCCTCCTAAGTAGCTGGGATTACAGGAATTCTAATTCTACTTGTACCATTTCTTCCAACTACATTGAAGATTTATATGGAGGGATCTTGGAAATGCTACTCAAGTTTTTTTTAACTGTTTGTAAGGTTCTCTAACATTATCAAGAACCACAAGACTGTGAATCTCACAGATGGAAGAAAGAATATTTTACTACAGAAAGAGTATTGCTTTGCTTAACTTAAAATTAAGACGGCTAACTTTAAGATGGCGATAAAAGCTTTTACAGAAACAATGACAAATATGTATAATTACCTCCACTCCTGCGGGCCATTGTTAGGGCTTCCAAAGAAGTTGCTGGAGTTATTTCGAGCTGGCAGACCATGACTTTGGCTCTACTAATGACATTGGCTGCTGCCCTCAGGTCCTCCGTATTCAAAAGTAAATTTGCTCCAGCCACTATGACAATGATATTCTGGCCTATAAAGAAATTCCACCTATTTATATTAAAACTAAACAAAGCCAAGCAATGATATTCTGCAGTGTTATGAATACAATCACCCTTGTAAAGTCATTATACAAAATGTGTCATAAGTATTAATTTTAACATTTCTAGGTTATTCAGCTTGAATTTTGAGTTCCAAATGTATGTTTTGTAATATTTCTGTAAGATTCACATTATTCTGATCACCTTAAGCAAAATCTTAAAAAGATTTTCCCAATATTCCTATATATAAAGAATATTAGTTGAGAAATGACATATAACATACTTTAAACATTTATTCTATAGAAAATAGCTGGTATATGTATGTGGTAAAGGTTCTGAATCCTAAATGACAGATGCTATAGAGACGAATATAAATAGGAATAAACTCGTATGACACTGTAGTATGCAAGCAGTTCATGTGTACCCTATGGTATTCTAAAAAGTGATGCTGTCAATCAAAACACATTTTAAATATCTAACAGATAGAAATTTGTATCAGATATAGAAGAGAGAGGGATACCTGGCTTATACTATAATGGATCAAACAGAAACAGAACTAAGGATTCTGATATATTCTTATTACTTGGACCCGCTGTCTTTAATCCCACCTGAATGAGGGAGGGGTGGTGGTGCATTTCATCTGTAAGGTGAACCCTTAAGAGCTGTGCTGTCCAATATGGTAGTCATGAGCACAAGCCCCACATGGCCATTGAACATTTGAAATGTGGCTAGTCCTGGCTGGGCACAGTGGCTCATATCTATAATTTCTAGCACTTTGGGAGGCCAAGGTGGGCAGATCACTTGAGGTCAGGAGTTCAAGACCAGCCTGGTCAAATGGTGAAAACCCATCTCTACTAAAATTACAAAAATTAGCTGGGCGTGGTGGTATGTGCCTGCAGTCTCAGCTACTCGGGAGCCTGAGGTGTGAGAATCGCTTGAACCTGGGAGGCAGAGGTAGCAGTGACCTGAGGTCACGTCACTGCATTTTAGCCTGGGCAAGAGTGAGTGAGACTCTGTCTCAAAAAAAAAAAAAAAAAGAAAAAAGAAACACCTTTTTTTTTCTGTGTTTTCTGTGGCTAGTCCACTCAGGTGTGCTTCAAGTAAAATACAAGTGGATTTCAAAGATAGTACAAAGGAAATAAGGTAAAATATCCATTCATTCTTACCATTTTAAAAATTAAAAAAAAATAAGATAAATTTTTGGGTCTCACTCTGTTGCCCAGGCTGGAGTGCAGTCGTGCGATCTCGGCTCACTGCAGCCTCCACCTCCTGGGTTCTTCAATCAACTCTCCCACCTAAGCCTCCTAAGTAGCTGGTATTGCAGGGGTGTGCCACCACGCCTGGCTAATTTTTTTTTTGCATTTTTAGTAGAGATGGGGTTTCACTATGTTGGCCAGGTTAGTCTCGAACTCCTGACCTCATGTGATCCACGTGCCTTGGCTCCCAAAGTGCTGCGACTACAGGCATGAGCCACTGCGCCCAGCCAAGATAAATTTTTGATTACACACTGTAATGATAATATTTTGGACGTATTGGGTTAAATATATTGCCTAAGTTAAATTTACCTGTTCCTTTTTACTTTTTAAAATGTGGCTACTAGATAATTTAAAATTCCACATGTGGCTTGCATTTTATTTTTATTGGACAACACTGATCTGGAGGAATGAGTTGTAGCAGGCATTTTCTGTGCTCCAGGCTGCTCGTGCTGATCTTGTATAGACATGACCTAAAATCACCTCTCAACACAGAACAAATTCTATCCTATCATCTTACCACAGATGTGTTTGTTGGCCACGAGGAAGGCTTAATAAAGTGGGGATGGTTCAGCATAAACCTAACCTCAGTCCTGGAAAAATTCAAAGTACCCACTTGCTGAAAGATAGCATCTCTCCTTCATTTTCTTCAGTGACCTCATTTTCTCTGTTGGAGTCAACTGCTACTTCCATGTTGCTGTCTCCCAGATCCAAATTTTTGGCCTGGCCTTAGCTGCTGAGCAACAAGCCTAAGACTATAGCTGTCTGATGGACAATGCCATATGGCTAGCTTGTTCATGCCTCAAATTTAACTTATCAAAACTAAACTTGCAAACTCACTCCTTCGTTTAAGGGAGCTGATTGTCCCATCTCTGTGTATTTGTCTGAATTCTTCTATTACCACCTATACTCTTGAGGGCATTACTGTACACTGTAAACCAGGCAAGGTCTACCAAATAGGCACTTGACACACACTATTACATTATATCTTCGCATGGAAAATGCAGATTTTGTTCATAAATAAGAAAGAGAACTTGAGGATATTCCTAGAACAACAACAACAACAAAAGAGGTTTAAGACAAGGAATGAGCTGCTGTTGGCAGGAATAATTACTTAAAAGGTAGCTTAAATGAACACAGGCTTTCTATAGTTAGAATGAAAACTTTTATCTACTACCTTTAGGTGAAACATGTCATTATTATTGCAACTTGGAATCACTAAAGTTGAGTTAAAAATACTGTATTTTCTGTGAGAAATGATCCTGCAAAGCTGCATTATAAATAAAATACACATTCTGACAAATCCTAATTTAATAAAATGCACACTGTCCACAACACATGCGGCTCTGTCCTAGGTGCCCCACGAAATGCTGGGTCCTTCTGAATATTGATTCTGATTTTAAAACATCTTATGTAGGTGTTTTTATAATTAAAACAGTTGGCAGAAATTATAAAAACCTGACTTGAAGGTTGTTACTATTTTTTTTTTTTTTTGAGACAGAGTCTTGCTCTGTCGCCCAGGCTGGAGTGTAGTCACCCCATCTTGGCTCACTGCAACCTCCGCCTCGTGAGTTCAAGCAATTCTCCTGCCTCAGTCTCCTGAGTAGCTGAGATTACAGGCATGTGCCACCAGGCCCGGCTAATTGTTTTTGCATTTTTAGTAGAAACAGGGTTTCACCATGTTGGTCAGGCTGGTCTTGAACTCCTGACCTCAAATGATCCACCCGCCTTGGCCTCCCAAAGTGCTGAGATTATAGGCGTGAGCCACCACGCTCAGCCACTGTTTTAATTCATTCATTCATTCATTCACTCATTCATTTATCTATTTAGAGTCAGGGTCTCACTCTGTCATGCAGGCTGAACTGCAGTGGTGGGACTGTGGCTCACTGCAGCCTTGAACTCCTGGCCTCAAGTGATCCTCCCACTTTAGCCTCTCAAAGCATTGGCATTACAGGTGTAAGCCCCTGTGCCAGGCCCAATTACTATTTTAAAAGATACATGTATCAGCTATGGCAAAGCCTTGTGGCAGACTTAGTTGTATATATAGACTTTTGCGATTTGATTGCTGTTGAAAGAACAGACAAAATTGAACACTAACGATAAGTTGGATGTAATTAGTTGCTGCCATTTGCTCAGAACATATTCTATAAATATGACTCATCAAACTTTTCTTTGCACCTATTTACATTTATTTACCTAGTGTAACTGAAATGACAGATGAATGCTTGACTGCTTTTAGAGACAAATGTCAATTATAAGTTCACATGAAGGGTAATGGGGACATTACAGCATATACATATTATTTTGAGGCAACTTCATATATATTGGAGAGATAATTTTGAAAATCGTCTGAAAATTGATCTGAACAATCAACGTGGGAAGTATAAATAAAGGGAAACACATTTACATTTGGATTGGAAAAACTATGTTTTAGGCCTTGAGTGGTGGCTGTAGTAAGAGGTCCATAGGATTATCGTAAAAATTGATGATGCTTCTGATCTAACTCTGGAAATACACTGTCTTATGAAATGACACTCCAATATGCAAAACACTTACCTTCATTATTGACAATTATAGAAGCAGTTCCTGTAGCAGCATCTTTAGTCTGATATGTAAATTCTGAAAGAAAAAAGAAAATTACAATCACATGTATACAGACTGGCATGTATAATTTATTTTAACAATTTCAATACAACACTAATCCTTGGAAAAACTTTTTAACCTTTAACCATCTGGAATGATAAACAAATAAGTAATTAGTGCTAATTTATACCCATCATCTATACAACAAGAAAAATAGACAGCTTTATATTTAGTTGCACCTTTTCTCTGCATTAGTAACAACCCACCAAACTGCTCCTACTTTCAAGTACCCCCAATTATTCATAATTGTATACATATGCATTTTTCTAGACCAACACACTTATGTTCTTCATTGAAAGGAATGTCAGAGTTGAGATAAAAAATAAAGGTCAAACCTATAAAATGAACTTGTTTGATTATTTTCATTCTCATAAGCTTGTTATTTCACCAAGAATCAAGGTCTAGCATATAAACAGAAATGTTGACCAGGCAGTCTTTGGTAGCAGCAAAGAGCCCTGAACTGGAGTCAGAAGATTTTATTCTAGTCCTGGCTCTGGCTCCAACCAACTGTGTGCTCTTGGAAAAATCACAGAACATCTCTGGCCTTTGGTTTTCTCTTCTATGAAATAATGGTTTCAGTCTCTATGGCTTCTAATGAGTGTTGCCAGCTGTAACGTTCTTAAAACACCTTTTGTGAATGCAGCACCTTTTTCTCCTTGTCATTCGTCACATATTCATGAGATGAAGGTTTGTAATCTCTTATCATTTTATTCCCATCTGGAGGAATGTACATGGAAGAATAAACCAAAGGACATTTAAGCAAGAATGGACAAAGCTGTGCATAAAAATTATCTGGCCACCAGGGGAAGGTCTAATAATTCTCCTCTAGATTCAATTTTTCTCATCTAGATTCAATTTTTCTCATATTTTCTCATAATAAAGTTATCAACAGTAACTTTAAAAAAGATGGGAATTTTACCTGTAGAAATATCATTCTGTTTTAAGTTTTCTATATAATCATTGCCAAAAGAATCTTTGCCAACCTGTACCAAAGAAATAATGAATATTAGATCTTTTATAGTTAGTAAAATGCTACAATGTAGTTTTTAGAATACTTAGCATTTTAAAAGGGCATATCTACACAGTACTTTACAAACATTAGCTGATTAATCTTCTTAATATAAGATGCTAGACTTGATTGCAGCCCAAAGAATTGTTATATAATAATGTTTCACTTATATCCTACTTAAAATGTGAAGTATTTAATGAACGCCACTCATTAAGTCATTCTCATTTTGAGCTGTTCATGTGATAATTCCCACTGAGATGGAGTTGTCTACCATCATCAATCCTCAATATTTATGAACAATCTCAGCTATTTGTACTTCATGGTAAATATGGGCATCTTTGTCATGACTTACCTGATGTTCCAGAATCTTTTTATCTTTTCCCTTGACACTGACATGTGGAGGCAAAGAAAAGCAAATTTTAAAGGCCCTAGCTAACTTGAGTAACTTGGTGTAATAGAATTCTGTTTTTGCATCCTAGCATCTATTCTGTTAAAGGTATTTCAGTTTTTCCTTTGGACACCCATTTCTGTCCCATTCTCTAGACAACAAAATTAAGTTGGCCAAGGGACCCAGGCCTGATTAAAAAGCGTGTTCCTTGTAGTCCCAGCTACTCGGGAGGCTGAAGCAGGAGAACTGCTTGAACCTGGAGGTGGAGGTTGCAGTGAGCCGAGGTCACGCCACTGCACTACAGCCTGGACGACAGAGTGAAACTCTGTCTCAAAAAAAAAAAAAAAAAAAAAAAAGTGTTCCACCACCCTGGTCACAGTGATGGAGGGATGGTTTCATGAATGGGCATGTGACCTAAACCAGTCCAAAAAGACTCAATCCTGGGACTTGTATTGAAACTACCAGGGAAGACAAGTTTTCTTCCCAGTAAGATTGCTGGCTATAAGAGAATGTAAACTTGTGGCCGGGCGCGGTGGCTCAAGCCTGTAATCCCAGCACTTTGGGAGGCCGAGACAGGCGGATCACGAGGTCGGGAGATCAAGACCATCCTAGCTAACACGGTGAAACCCTGTCTCTACTAAAAAATACATAAAACTAGCCGGGCGAGGTGGCGGGCGCCTGTAGTCCCAGCTACTCGGGAGGCTGAGGCAGGAGAATGGCGTGAACCCGGAAGGCGGAGCTTGCAGTGAGCCGAGATCTGGCCACTGCCCTCCAGCCTGGGCGACAGAGCAAGACTCCGTCTCAAAAAAAAAAAAGAGAATGTAAACTTGTAGTCACTGGGGCTCACCATATAGAGACAGCTAGAAAGAAAACAGAAACATAACAGAAAGCAGGAGGGTGACAGACACAAACAGACACAGACACCTAACAGCCTAATGGACCCCTAAGTCATCTGAAGCCAGCTCTACCACAGGGCTTTTCAGTTACACGAGGCAATACATTCTTTTTAAAAATTTTATTTATTTTTATTTGTTTGCTTAAGCTATTTCAAATTGAGTGTCTATTGTCTGTTACTAACAAAGTCCTGATTAGCTTCAGGCTGGGCGCAGTGGCTCACGCCTGTAATCCCAACACTTTGGGTGGTCAAGGCAGACAGATCACCTGAGGTCAGGAGTTCGAGGCCAGCCTGGTCAACATGGTAAAACCCCATCTCTACTAAAAATACAAAAATCAGCTGGGTGTGGTGGTGCATGCCTGTAGTCCCAGCTACTTGGGAGGCTGAGGCAGAAGTGCTTAAAGCCAGGAGGTGGAGGTTGCAGTGAGCTGAGATTGCGCCATTGCACTCCAGCCTGGGCAACAGAGTGAGACTCTGTCTCAATAAATAAATAAATAAATAAATAAATAAATAAATAAATAAAAAAGGAAAAGAAAAAGCTAGTTAGCCCAGCGCCTAGCATCACCCCTGAACCACTGAACTATAATTTAAGTCGCTGTGTTTGTACCTGGGTCCTGTGACCACATTCTTGCTTTGTGGTCCACTTTGGTAACTGGATCTCTCCCCGTTTCTGTCAGCACGAGTGTGTATCCTCTTCATCTGCTTAGCCCTCTAGCTCTTTCAGAACAGGTACTCTTCTCTGCCTGGCCAGCCATTTGCAGGGGCCAGAACTTTAGGTCTGTGGCTCAAAGCCAGAAAACTATGATTGCAAGGCCTTTGATACCAACTGCTGGCATCTTATCGACATCTCCCTACTGTCTGTTTCTGCAATCACTGTGCTGGTCAGGACACCCCTGTTATCTTCTCCCATACCTCTCTAATGCTAACCATTTGTCTGACTGCTACCTTGGCTGGACCTTGGCTTGAACTCTACGGTTGAATCTACAGCAGAGGCTGTAAATTGGTGGGTTGAAAGTTGAATCTGACTCCTAGATATGTTTCGTTTGTCCTACTACTGTTTTCTAAAAAGCAGACTTTTTTTTTTTTTTTTTTTTTTTTTTTTTTGAGACGAAATCTCGCTCTGCCGCCCAGGCTGGAGCACAGTGGCCGGATCTCTGCTCACTGCAAGCTCCGCCTCCCGGGGTTTACGCCATTCTCCTGCCTCAGCCTCCTGAGTAGCTGGGACTACAGGCGCCCGCCACCTCGCCCGGCTAGTTTTTTGTACTTTTTTAGTAGAGACGGGGTTTCACCGTGTTAGCCAGGATAGTCTCCATGCAGACTTTATTTTTTATTTATTTTATTTTATTTTTGAGACGGAGTCTCTCTGTCGCCCAGGCTGGAGTGCAGTGGCACAATCTCAGCTCACTGCCAGCTCCACCTCCCGGGTTCACGCCATTCTCTTGCCTCAGCCTCCCAAGTAGCTGGGACTACAGGCGCCCGCCACCACACCCGGCTAATTTTTTGTATTTTTTAGTAGGGACGGGGTTTCACCATGTTAGCCAGGATGGTCTCGATCTGACCTTGTGATCCGCCCGTCTCGGCCTCCCAAAGTGCTGGGATTACACGTGTGAGCCACTGCGCCTGGCCAAAATAGACTTTATTTTAAAAACTAGTTTTAAGTTCTCAGCATAAGTGAGTAGAAAGTACAGAGTTCCCATATACTTTGTCTCTTCCTACAACTAGTATCCCCCACTATTAACATCCTGCAACTAAGTGTACATTTGTTACAACTGATAAACCTACATGACATATCATTATCACTCAAACTCCATAGTTTACATTAGGGTTCACTCTTGGTGTTGAATATTCCATAGGCTTTGACAAATGTAAAATGTCATATATCCACCATTATAGTACTATACACAATCATTTCACTACCCTAAAAATCCTCTGTGTTCTATGTATTCATCCCTCTCTCCCCACTAGCCTCTGGCAAACACTAATCTTTTCATTGTCTCCATATGGTTTTGCCTTTTCCAGAATATCATACAGTTGTAATTACACAGTATGTAGCCTTTTCAGACTGACTTCTTTTACTTAGTAATATGCAACTAAAGTTCCTCTGTGTCTTTTTGTGCCTTGATAGCTAATTTCTTTTTAGAGCTGAATAATATTCCAGCATCTGGATGTACTAGAGTTTAAATATCCATTTATCTACTGAAGGATGTCTTCAAAGTTTGGGAAATTATGAATAAAGCTGCTATAAATATCTGTGTGCAGGTTTTGCTATAAATGCCCTGTTATTTTTGTTTTAATTTTAATTTTGTTTTAAATTTTAATCAGTTCTCAATACTTAAATATTAGAAGACTTCACAAAAACAGACAGATGTCCAGGAGGTTCTGAAAATTCAGAGGTTCTGGTAACACTGCGTCCACATTCCTGCAAGGCAAACCATCTGGAACGGAGAGGTAAGTGCCTTAAAGTGGGCATAGACTCTTGACTTCATCACAGTCCCTATGTAGCCTACTGCAATTTCTGTTACCTGCTTGGCTCCTGTAGGCCTTTAGGCTTGCTACCTCTGAACTATACTTCTGAACTGAGCTTCTATTTTTCTGTCCTGCCAGTGAGCACTACTTCAATGGACTATGTCTCAATCCAGGCTTCAGTCACTCCTGGTGTGTCCCATTCTTCCACAGAAAATTGTTCCTTTCTGGATATATCAATAGAAAGAAACCTGTCTGCTTCCTTACCATCATTTCTGAGAACTTAGAAGTCCTTTGCCCTCTCCTCCACCAAATCAAACCTCACCTGTTTTTCAAGTATCAATTTAAGGTCTACCTTCTCTACTCTGGCCCTTGTTAATCCTCTCATCTCCAGACCTCCTATGACATTCCTAATCAAGCCCATAGTTCAATATCATCTTATATTGTTGGCAATTTCATATTTGTTAGTCTAGCCTTCTTAAAAGCTTACTGGAGACTCTTTAGGATTTGATCACATCAGTTACCCTTTTGTTCATTTCCCTTGGACCCATCTTGTAGTCATGTTCCATTCTTTTTTTTTTTTTTTTTGAGACGGAGTTTCGCTCTTGTTGCCCAAGCTGGAGTGCAATGGTGCAATCGTGGCTCACTGCAGCCTCTGCCTCTTGGGTTCAAGTGGTTCTCCTGCCTCAGCCTCCTGAATAGCTGGGATTACAGGTGTGCACCATCATACCTGGCTAATTTTTGTATTTTTAGTAGAAATGAGGTTTCACCATGTTAGCCAGGGTGGTCTTGAACTCCTGACCTCAGGTGATCTTCCTGTCTCAGCCTCCTAAAGTGCTGGGATTACACGCATTAGCCACCACGCCCGGCTGTCATGTTCCATTCTTGAAGGAACATGACTACAAGCACCCAAACTATTCTAGAATGGTTCCATACAAGGTTTTGTTTTCAACAGCTTCCTTGAAGGTACTCTCACACTCTTTTGGCTATAGCAGTGAAATACTTTTGGGCAGAAAGATTCTTGGAAACCCGCATAGTCTGAAATAGCCTGTCTGTGTGAGCTTGTTCCACATGAAGGAAGCCAGGTCAAGAGCAACTATGGACAAGCGCTTGCACATAAGCCAAAAGGGAACTCTCAGAACTCAACATGCTCTTTGGAAATCCCAGGCTCAGTTCTGTCCTGAATATTGTAGAGTAGTGCCAAATGACAGAACTTTCTGTAGTGATG